AGTTGTTTCTTGAGCAGCAGTCGTGGTATTATTTTGCGGTGCAAGTGTAGTTGGCTCATCATCGTCATAATCGCAGGGTGGTTCTGTCGTTGTTGTTGTTGTTCTGCGACATCTTTGGCATGGTTTCTTTGTTGTCGTTGTTGTTGTTGTTGTTGTAGTCGTCGTTTTCTTGTGAGGCCAATGCCAATTCCATGGAAACAAAGATGAAATACTCTTATGTTTCTTTTGCCAACGGCCAAACGGATCATAAAAAACTTTATTTTCCGACGATCCTACGAGCTCCGGTTTTGTAGTCTCGGGTGTGATAAGGGTAGCAACGTGAGGGTTTTCATCTGTACTTGTTCGACTTTGCGTCCAGCTAGATTTATGACGGGCTATTGATGTAAATGCAAAAATTAACACATAAATCACAAATTTTGTTAAAACCAACTTCGTTTTGCAACTCACCGTCGCTGGCAGCTATTAAGCAGACCAAAAATGAGATGATTACTAAAACATTCATGGTTTCACAAGTAGTTCCTTTCTTTCTGAGGGTTTAAAAGCCACTAAAACTTTAGAAGAAATCTACCAAATTTATATGGAATATATGTGGCCTGTTTTGTTTATTTAAAATTTATATTTACTTAAAAAAAAACGTTGGCAAAACACTTGGGCTAATTTGTTCTAGCTAGCGTGGTTGTTTTTTTGTGCGATTCTTCGAACAACTATTTGGCAAATAGTCTATAGAAAGACGCAATATCATTGGATTCGCCAGTTAAAGAATTGCGTTAATTTATCTACATGCGACAATTAAATGGAAGCAGCAGATCTCTTTCGTATTTCATATTAACCTCAGTATTTGGTAGACATCTGTTTGTAGTACTGAATTATTGAACCAACACGTTTGGAGCAATGTTGGTTCCACATGTATAACAAGCACGCTTTAAAAGTTAGAAATAACGTAGAATTCAAATAAATATTTGCAAAACTGTATTTATTTTCCAGCGGCTACTTTCAGCGCTTCTACCATTCAGTAGGGTGGAAAAGTGTTCTCTCCATAATTTAAGTACATTCTGGACACCGGTCACTAGGTCGCCATTGTTGTTCTTACAGGAGTTCGCCCTGGTCTTGAAACCTTCCGTAAGTCGCCTAACCCTCGGTTAGAATTTTCGGGCGGTCTTCCTGTCGGCCAGCATCTCAAGATCTTCGTACTCACGTATTTCGGTCTCTGTATTCTTATTGAAAAATACATACGTGTCGCTTCTTCTTCAGTTACCTATAGGGGTCCCAAATTGTTCGCGTTGCGCCCGATCGCAGCGTGTCCTATAGGTGGCATCCTTTTTCTCTGCGGCTTCTTGACATTCCTCATCGGACCAGTTGTTCTTTCGGGCTCACTGAAATCCAACTACCTCCTCGGCAGCGGTACTTATTGATAGGGAAATGTAGTTCCACTGCTAGCGTATGTGGGATTGTTGAAGAGTGCTCTCAGAGAGCAGATGTGTGAGTCGAGTTGCGAATAATTGGCACCCCCTGCCCCTACCTGGCTACGCCGATGGGTCCGGA